TTGTAAGACCTAAGCAAAAAAGTAAAAAGAAAAAGTTATAAGTGACAAATCACCAGAGAAGATAAAATGGAAACATAAAAATGCTCAACTAATACAAAAAGATGCAGAAAAAGTAGAATGGTGAAACAAATAGAAAACAGCTAATTTAAAATGGTAGACTTTAATCCAATCACATTAGCAAACCACCATTAATATGAAATAGTCTAAAGGCAGCAGTTAAAAGGCAACTTTAAAAACCCAAACTGGTTACCAATCAGTTAAAAGACAATATTCTCAGATTTGATTTTTTTAAAAGCAATTTACAACTATAGTCTGTAAGAAACCCACTTTCAATATAAGATGCAGATATATTAAAAGTAAAAATATGGAAAAAAGCTATACGATGCAGCATTAACTACAAAAAAAAGCTGGAGCGGTCATAGAATATCAAGCAAAATAGACTTCAAAAAAAGAAATGTTATTGGGGAGAAAAAGGGACATTCTATAATGGTAAAGTGGTCAATTCTCCAAAAAGACATAACAATCTGAAATATGTAAGCCCCTATAACAAATCCTCAAAGTAAATGAAGCAAAGACAATAAAACTTTAAGGAGAAATAAGACGTGTTTGCAGCTATTATTGAAGACTTCAACACTCTTCTCTCAGGAAGTGACAAAAGAATGATAATGAATCAGCAAATATTTGTGGTGTGCTGTAGTGCCGATTTGGCTGGCTGTAGCACATTCCCCATAATTCCCTTTCCTGTATGTTTCCGGTGAGGGATGAGCAAAAGAAATATTCTTGTGCAAAGTTAGAGCGGAAGTGAAAACGCAGCCATTTTAGAGCTTGCTCCCATCACTGCTTACCTGCTGGCTAATCTTGTGGGGCCGGCACAGTGATAGAGCCTGTATCTGCTCCTCCTTCCCCAGGTCCTCCTGCAGTTTCGCTAATTCCTGAGCCAGGTGTGTGTCAAGTTCTAGGATGGAGGGCAAGAGCCACAGCTGCTCCTGCAGGACATTGCTGCTGTCCAGGTCAGAGATAGCAAAGACAGACATGTTTTTCAGTCTGTCCTCCTATGTCCAGCTCTTGTTTGGGGGTCACAGTGTGTCCTTGCTCTCTTCTGCGTTATATCCACCTGTTACGACCTTCAGCTCCAGCATCAAATGCAAAGACAATAGTCTTACAGACACTGACTAACATGACCTATAATTGTGTAAACTCAAATCCTTGTAACAAATCCCATAACTTATCTATACTTGAATCTACATATCTCTGATTCTATATATCTGCATCTCCGTCTCCACCTACATTTGTATTTACATTTAAATCTAGATATGCTTCAACATCTCCTAACGTTTCTGCCTCTCTAATTGAAGCCTGACTGGTACAGAATTTGATACCAAGAGTGTGTCCAGAGGAACAGAATCTTTAAAATGAGTTATCTGAAATGGTTTTGAGTTGTCCATACTGAATTCTCTGATCTGCTTGACATAAAGGCATTAGTGACCTCGTTTCTGAGAGTCAAGGGCACATTAGTGAGCCACAGCATGCAGCGGCAAGACAGTTACTCAAAGTATCATCTGTCGATGATCATAATCAATGCCTATAGAAGGCAAGTAATTGCTGCCATGAAACATTTTATTGAAAATAAGAAATATAACAGAGTTGGGTTGGTTGGTTGCTTGTGCTGCAGAAATGTGGGAAATAAAATGAGCTCAAGACCTTAAATTGTAAGGTCTGCATAAGGGATCTGAAAACTTCAATAACTGTCCTAAAGCAAACCCATTTCTTGTAGCCATGGGGCAGATATTTCTGAAAACCAAACCCAACATCTAATCCTGTGGGTGGCAGAATTACAAATGAAATTGGATTGCTCATTCTATAGCATTTCTTTTGTTAAAGTGAGACCGTTCATATGGTTTGCATCAAATCTAGAAAACTGAGAAAGGAACAGATAGGTAGATTCCAATGAAACTGCTGACTTTCAACCCCAAAATTTGCTGAGCCTTGGAAGCCTCCTTTTAACCACTGCCACAAGCTAAGAAGGCCAGTCACCCTGTCCTAAAGAACCTTAATCTTCCCCTGAAGTAGTCATCTTGTGAGGTACTACTGACACTCCTTAGGACCTACTCTGCCTACCTGTCTTTGCTTCTAGACCTTTACCTAAACTCCAGAATCAGTAGACGTCAGAGGGTGAAAGACAAAGGATGGCCTATGATGAGATCTGATGTACACCCAAAAAAGACTTTTCAGAAACCTTGGAAATATGTGGAGGAGTGAATTTTAAGATCAAAGTGGGAAGAATATAAAGTTGATTCAGGATGAATTCATGGATAAGGCTTACTAATAAGAGATTCTATATTCAAAACTGAAGGGCTAGGAATGCCTCTAATATTATAGTTTTCTTTGTTAGTTGTCAAAAACGTGGACTTAAGAGTAGCTTCCACGACCAGGTCTTTGATATAGAGTAAGTTATTCAAAGGTTTAGGGAGATTGGACCATTTCAAGTGAAATTAGTAATTGTTTAATGTATGCATTCACTGTTTGTTGTATGTAAAATTTTATTTGTAGCTATTAGTTTAAACTTAGTATATTATTTAACTTTGATATCTGCAACAATTTTTCTTCTTCACCTACCTGTTTCTGAGAAGCATTTGCTAAAACTCTCGGACTGCAATGGTTGATTTATCTACCATTAGAAAATATAAAGTTAGTCAATCATAGGTCATTTCCAGTATAAAATTAGTTCTGAAATTTTTACCAATTTGTTTTCCCTCTCTGGCATTGTCTACGTTAAAGGGAGTTCACATGGGGTGAATTTCGTGGTCTGCGATCATTGGCTTTGCTCACTCTGGCATCTGCTGAGTCTGCTGAGACGGATTTCCTTGCCCAGGCCAGGCCGTGCACCTGGCATCCCCCCTGTCATTGTCCCATCCACGATGCCAGTCCAGCCATGACGCCCTGGTGCGCTGGTGTCTTGGGGTCTCCGAATCCCTCTCTCACAAAACCCTGTACCTTTTGATGGCAAATGTAAAGTTGGAACTATTCCAAGCCGTTCTAGAGCCTCAGAAATTTCAGTGAAGCCACCTGAGGCCCATTCAGACTTCAAAAATCCATGTAGTCACCGTGAAAGTAGGCCTCACGATCCTTCTGACCTTTTGGGTTTCAAGCAGGAGGTGTCAGAAAAGTCACCACAGGGATAACTGGCTTGTGGCAAAAAAAAAAAAAAGAAAAGAAAAGAAAAGAAAAAAAACTTAAAAAAAAATCCATGCAGTCAATTTTATTCTGCTTCATACTCCTAACTCTAGCTGTTTATATTGGCACACCACACAACACCCTCCATTCTTTGAAGAAGTGGTCCTGAGTGAGGCAAGCCCACAAGAGCCTCCAACTCTCCAAAAAGCCCTTCCTCTTGATGTATTATTTGTCAGAGTATTTGAAAAGTTTAGAGTGCAGCAATTACTGAACATTGGCTCCTTTATTTTGTTATGCTCCCCGTCCCCCCACTCTACAGCTTAGTGCCTGCCTGAAATTAAAGGAGAGGGACAGGAGAGAAAATAAGAATGCTCAAAACCAAAAACCACATCAATTTATATTTTTGCCAATAAATACAGGGTTTCTAGTCATGGCTCTTTTATTAATCCACTCTATGGTACTGTGTGAATCATTTAACCTTTCTGGGTGTTCTCAGAAAGAGAACTCATCTGTAAATTAAAAGAATTAAACTAGGTGATTTTTAGAGTCCTTAGCAGCACTGATATTCTACGGTTGTATGGTTGCACACTACAATACATTCAAAGTGCAGCATTGCAAGTTCCATGTACAATCAGCCCCCTATAGCTTGAAGAGGATAGCATTATATAACTCATGTTATAGTACTTTGAAAAGTTAAAGGCACCATATAAGTAGACTTTGGTGTACAGCAATTTGATGTCTGACAATTTTCTTTTACAACCTTCAGCCAATCAAATATATGTTAGCAATTTATGACACTCATTGCTAGCAGAGAGCACAAAAATGAACTTTAATATGTCATTCTCTTTTTTAATGCATTCCATATACTAGTTCCACTGCCATCTAACCTCTCATATTTCCCTGTAACCTTCCACCATTCCTTTTCCACAGCACCAGACAAGTGAAGCAGGCAAAACAAAAGAGGCAGGAGGCTTTGGGCCAAAGACACATACCAAAGACTAAGTACAACTTTTTTATCCTTTATTATTATTTTCATGTGTTAAACACTCCTTTAAGCCATTTCAAATGAAGTGATCATAAAAGTAGAGGCATCACGCGCACACACACACACACACACACACACACACACAAACATATTTCCCAAATATTTGCTTCGAAGAGTTCTATTTTGCCATTGTTTATGTTCGTGATTTAGCAAGAGAGAACATGTTCTTTAGAGTTGGACAAACCAGAACAAAATCCATCTTCCCAGAACTTGTTGTAATGAGGAGAGAAAAGGCACTTACATGATTGTATGTCATCCAATCAGAATTTTTATGATGTGCAGACACTCTTTCTTTAGGTCCAAAACCCAACTCTCCTGTTTTTTATTGTCAAATGCACTATCCTCACCTAATTTCATATTCCCCACCATGAGAAAAGAAGTAGTAACACTATTGTTACAGACGATGTCGTGATCTCCAGAATCTGTTTAGATTGAAACAATGTAGACCACTTTGCCTCTGTAATTCCCTAATACCATTCACTTGCTGTTGATTTCATCATTATTCATAACACTGCATTATTCTTTATGTGGCCCATGAATACTAACTTCCAATGAATCTACCAAAGGTTTTAACTGAGCTTCATTGATGATGATCACGAATGCATATATACCCAGAGTATTTACAAAAAATTTGACCAATAATTTGTTTCCTGGTCATGTTAAAGTTAGCATTTGGAATTTTGTAACATGAAATGTAGGACATCTTCCAACTATGTTCCTCTGGGCCACATGCAATAATGGCAATTCTAGAATGTAATGTCTTTTAGTATTGACCACATTCCTGCCTTGCACATGCTATCACAGCAAGAAGGAGAAAGGAGGTATTCATGAACAGAATGAGTGGACTGTCAGTTCTTTGTCTAGCATAGTTTAAGAATGCTCTGAGTGCTTACATATAAGGCAAGAAAGGACTTTTTCAGAAGGGCCCATGGTGTTGTAAGGAACAGTTCTGAAAGCCATCAGATTCTGAGAGGATATAGGTGTTGCCCCTCCAGGAATACTGCAGACTCAGGGTGCCAACCTTGCAAACAGAATTGGGGTGACTATCCTAGGTATAAGAGGTGGCATCTAGGGTAAAGGATGCCCACCATACCCCTGCTGCGCTGCGTGCTGTATCAGACCAGAGAAGGCATCATGGCTGGAACAAAGACGGGTCAGTTCCGGCATAGGCACACACAGCCCAGGGACTGGCAATGGGCTTTCGGTGTCCTAGAGCCCTGAACTTATCCCACCCCATGTGAGTTCTTCCGATATCAGTGTGTGAATGCCATTGTGGAGGCACAAATATGCACAGTGCCACAAAAGATATGCCTTACTGGCAGTGGAAGTAATGTGCTCACAAGGCTCCCCACTTGGAACTTGGGTCCTGCCACCAGCAGCTAGAATGGTGCCATAGTAAAGCTTCTTGGTACCTCTGATCAGCCTCGCATAATTGTGAGGGTCATAGGTTATGAGAGCTCCCAAAAGCAGAGGGAAAAAGACTAGGGCATAATAAATCCCTGGTTAGACATGGGACTTCAGCCGAGATGACATTGCTGGTGTTGGCTGGCTGCAGACACTGGAGGGGGACTTAGAAAATTTTCAGGAGGAAACTCCAAAGTTTGGAGCCCCCTGAGGGGCAGCCAGGAGCACGGGCCTTGTTCAGATCTAAAAAGCCATAAGCAAGGCTGATCTTTAACAAAAACGATCAAAGGAAGTAGTGCTTCAGTCATCTTATGAGATATACTATGAGGCAAATGAAAAACTCAGAAATAGAATAAAATGACTGCTATTTTGAGGACTGGGGAACAAAATTGTCAATTATATCTTTTCAAGATTCTGGTAAAAGCTTTGAAGTTTGCAATGTGAAACAATAGAGCAAACTGACACAATAATTTAAAGTAAAAAAAAAAATAGAATTTTCTCATAAGCTTTCAAAAGTTCTGTTCAGCATAACACCAGGCAGCTTATAGAATGAAACTGGAATGTGAACAAGGGGTGGCTCAGCAAACAGGAGGACACTTGAAGGCAAAAAATTTTACCTACAGTTTAATCTCTCTGCCTGTGCTTATTAAGAAAAACTATAACAAGCAAAAGAAGTCACCAAATACAGCAGTGAATCAGCTTGAAGCAAAACAAAATAATAACATAAAGTGGTCTAAACCTTTCTCTAAAACCCTTTTTAATATATCAAAGAATCCTTTTCAAATTCTATCATCCCATATCAACAGTGCTCCTAAAACTTGTCATCCATAGCAATAGAAGTAACATAGAAATTGTGTGGTGTCATATTTCATATAAAATATCATGGTACACTATTTTATTCGTATATAGTTATCTAAGTTACAAAGATTTGCATAGTATGTGGAAAGGAGTTTAAGCCAATGTCATCAAAATGTGCTACATGGACCCCTCACTTAGGTTGGAACAACATGGAAAGCTTTTCTTTTTTTTTCTAAAAAAATACAGTGCTTTGGACACTACACCAAACCTGGAGTCATGGACTTTGAGAATAGGTTCTTGAAATCTGCATTTTTAGCAAACTCTTTAGACAATACTAACAAAAAAGCTGATAACACTTGAATTACAATCTCAGAAATTATTAAATTTAGCCACATCTTCAAGAAATGAAAGCAATAATTCTCTCTGTTTTGTTTTTTTAACTAGGTTCTCAATTTACCTGTAGCAAGCATCATTGCCTATTTGCTCTCTGGGGGCCATCTCTTACCACTAGCCCACTTGAACCCTAAAACAAATCAGCCCCTTCCTAGCATTGAATAAGAAAGAATATTTTCATAGATAGGAGCCCCCATGGATTTAACATGGATTAGAAAATAAGTTAGCTTTTGAGGGTGTCAACAATCTGAAGCTGAGAAATAATGAAAACTACATGTATCATTTAGACATGCATATGTACCTATTTTCTGTATATAAGCATCTTATAATGTATTTTTCTCTCTGTGTGTTGCTATGTGTTGGTACAAATGTTTGGTTTTCCAAAGCAATTTCCTAAGAATTTCCAAATTTTTAATGCCCAAGAAGGGTGTTTTTTTGTTGTTGTTGTTGTTAAACAACGTCTCCCAATGGATATGTTAAAAACAATTTAATGTTGAGCTTTGTAGTCTTTCAGCATGGCTTCAGAAACCAAATCATGAACACAGTTTCTTGAGATAGAAAGTTAACACTGCCTTGTTATAAGCTCTTTGAGATAGAGTAAATGATTATTTTTATTTCTAGGATCCAGGGCCAGTCATCTACTGGAAAGAAGATAAGAATATGATAAAAAGTACTGTCAGAAATTAAAAGGTAAAGTTATTTAGACAAAATTGATCAAGTTGAAAATGTACTAGCTCAGTCTATTTTGAGAGACTATATAGTCTTCATATAAACTCAGATGTATGAGGTATAGAATTAATGTCAGTTTACCTAAAATTTCTATCACCAATACAGTGCTAACAATAACAAATCCCACAAGCCTTATGATAACCTCAAATCAAAAACCTACAAAAGATACACAAAAAACAAAAAGCAAGAAATTAAAACATGCTACCAGAGAAAATCACTTTTATACAAAGGAAGACAGGAAAGAAGGAAGAAGAAAAGACTACAAAACAACCAGAAATCAAATAACAAAATGGCAGTAGTAAGTCCTTCCCTATCAATAACAACAATGAATATAAATGGACTAAACTCTCAAATTAAGAGACAGAGAGTGGCTGAATGGATTTAAAAAAAAAAATATCCGACTATATGCTGCCTATAAAAAACTCGCTTCACCTATAAAGACACACATAGACTGAAAAATAAAGGGATCGAAACAGATATTCCATGTAAATGGAAATTAAAAAAAGAGCATGAGTAGCTGTACTTATATCAGATAAAATAGATATCAAGACAAAAACTGTTGAAAAAGATCATTATATAATGATACAGGGCCAACTTGGCAAGAGGATACAGTGATTTAAATATATATGCACTCAACAGAGGAGTACCCAGATCTACAAAGCAAATATTAGAGCTAAAGGGAGAGAGAGAGACCCCAGCACAATAATAACTGGTGACCTCAATCCCGCACTTTCAGCACTGGACAGATCTTCCAGGCAGAAAACCAACAAAGAGATGTTAGAGTTAATCTGCACTCTAGACCTAATGGACCTAGTAGATATTTACAGGACATTTCAGCCAACAGCTGTGGAATTCAAGTTCTTCTCCTCAGCTCATGGATCATTCTCAAGGATAGACCATATGTTAGACCACCAAAGTCTTAAAACAATTAAAAAACCCTGAAATTATATCAAGTATTTTTTCTCTGACCACAATGAATGAAACTAGAAATCAGTAACAAGAGGAACTCTGGAAATGCTACAAACAAATGAAAATTAAACAATATGTTCCTGAATGACCAATAACTCAATGACTAAATTAAGAAGGAAATTAAAAAATTTCTTGAAACAAATGAAAATAAAATATAACATAACCAAAACCTATGGAATACAACAAAAGCAGTGTTAAGAGGAAAATTTATAGCAGTAAGTGCCTACATTAAAAAAGTAGAAAAACTTTAAATAAATAACCTCATAGTGCATCACAAAGAACTAGAAAGAGAAGAGCAAACTAAACTCAAAATCAGTAGAAGAAAAGAAATAAAGATCAGAGCAGAAATAAATGAAATTAAAACAAAACTAATATAAGAAATCAACAAAAAGTTTGTTTTTGAAAAGATAAACAAAATTGAAGTAAATTTAGCCAGACTACCTAAAAGAAAAAGAAAGAGCCAAATAAATAAAATCAGAGATGAAAAAGGAGACATTACAACTGATAGTTTAGATATTCAAAAGATCATTAAAGGCTACTATGAACAACTATATTTCAATAAACTGGAAAACCTAGAAGAAATAAACAGATTTCTGGGCACATACAACCTACTAAAGTTGAACCAGGAAGAAACCCAAAGTCTGAATAGACCAATAACAAGCAATGAGATAGAAGCAGTAATAAAGTCTCCCTACAAAGAAAAGCCTGGGACCCAATGGCTTTACTGCTGAATTCTACCGAGCATTTAAAGACAAATGAATGCCAATCCTACTCAAGTTATTCCAAAAAGTTGAGGAGGAGGGAATATTCCCAAACCCATTCTATGAGGCCAGTATCACCCTGATACCAAAACCAGAAGAAGGCACAACAAAAAAAGAAAACTATAAGCCAATATCTCTGATGAACATGGATGCAAAAATCCTCAACAACATACTACTAGCAAACTGAATTCAACAGTACATTAAACAGAGCATTCATCATGATCAAGTGGGTTCCGTCTCAGGGATGCATGACGGCTCAACGTATGCAAATCAACCAATGTGGTACATCGTGTCAACAGAACAAAGGACAAAAACCCTACGATCACTTCAACTGATGCCAAAAAAGCATTTGATAAAATTCAACATCCCTTCATAATAAAAGCTCTCAAAAAATAGGTATAGAAGAAACAAACCTCAACACAATAAATGCAAATAGGACACACCCACAACTAGTATCATACTGAATGGGGAAAAACAAAAGCCTTTCCTTTAAGATCTGTCAAAAGATGATCACGCCCACTTCTATCACTGTTACTCAATATAGTACTGGAAGTTCTAGCCAGAGCAGTCAGACAAGGAATGAGCTTAACGAAAGAAGTGAAAGATCTCTACAATAGAAACTATAAGCTCATGGTTTGCTCATATGTGGTAGTCAAACATTAAAACAATTGATTTCATGAATTCAGAGAGCAGAATGATGGCTATCAGAGGTGAGGAAGGTCAGTGGGGAGTGAGAATAAAGTGGGGTTGCTCAATGGGTGCAAAAGTATAGTTAGATAGAATGAACAATATTTAATATTTGATAGCACAACATGGTGACTATAATCAATAATAAGTTTTTGTCTGCTTTAAAATAACCGAAAGAGTGGAATTGTAGAGACAGGATTCACCATATTGCCCAGGCTGTCTCAAGTTCCTGGCCTCAGGCAATCCTCTGGCCTCAGCGTCCCACAGTGCTGGGATTACAGGTGGGAGCCACTGTAGTCAAGAGTGGAAGTGGAATGTTCCCAACACAAAGAAATGGCAAATGCTTGAGGTGATGGACACCCCAATTACCCTGATTTGATTATTATATGTTATATGCCTATATAAAATATCATATGTATCCTATAAATATAAACAAATATTATGTACCCATAATAAAATAAATATTATGTACTCACAATAATTAAAACAAAAAAATTTAAAAAGAAATCTCATGTTGGAAAAATAAAATAGATGAGGCATTTTATTTATATCTCACATCTTCATTGCTGCCTTGCCGCCTTGCTCCCTTGCTGACATGGTCTCCATGCTCCCTCTTTACCTGAGTAAGATGTTACCTTCTTACCTTCTCGTTTCGACCTTCTGCCACATTACCATGGAAAAATAGTCCACAGCAACAAGTCTCTCACTGCTCACAACATTAGCAATGGATATAATTGGCCCAGCATTTACCTTATGTGGAATTTTATGGCAGGTTTTACTTTTTAAATGTAAGAATGTAGGTTGAACATGACTAAGTGGAGAACTAACGGATTTTCTTTTAAGTTAATACAATATATTTTGTGTTCGTTAGCCTCAAATACACCCAGCACCTTGCTTGGTGCGCAGGTGAGCCCAGAAAAGGACAACTTGCCTCCCTTCTCTTAGATCTTATAATCTAGATTGAAAAATAAAACTAAAACACAGACACACACACACACACACACACACACACCAGCTGACAATTCATAACTCCAATAGTGTGTTAAGTGCTGCAGCAGTTCTAAGGTGAGGGAAGAGAGGACTGTCCTATTGCACATTCAGAAAAACATGGGAGCAAAAATGTCTGGTGAGATTTTATTTCCCTTCCTTTTTGTAGAAGATTATTGGCCAGGCAAAGAGTAAATATGTTTCTTTCCCCATCACTTCAATATTTATATGTAACTGTAATTTTTCACTCTTTTTCCTGAAGAATTAAGATTCACAAGGTACCCTGGAATGTGCATTTTCAATAAGCTTCATATAGTAAATATTCTTGACAAGAATAAAATAAAAAACAGCAAACTCTATTTTCCATTCTGAGATGTTAGGTCTTCCTACCCCTTGGCCCCATTTGTCGTATGTAGGCTCTGCACACTAGGCTCTTCCCATCTTCAGTCAAATGACAGAGCCCCAGTCATTACGATTCAACTGCTGCCTTTTCCACTAGAAATTCTAGCCTGGAATGAACAGCTTGCTAAATAATTTTTAAAGATTCTAATGCTTCTTTCATCTATCTATTCTTTATACCACATGTAAACGAGAAGTTTGGAAGCCCTATTGAAAGCAGGGGAGGTTCAATCTAGCATTTTTGCCTTTCACATTCTTTCAAGTCTATCTTCTAAATTATGCCAAGATTTTTCTGGTCTGGCTTGCCATTAAAAGTCCAAGTTTAGTCTAGGTTGTATTAAAGAACCTGGAAAATATTTAGATGTAAATGGAGTTACTATGTTGGATACAGAATGACTATATATATATATACATATATATATAATTTATTCTAATCCCAAGCTATGTTTTACCATCCTTAGTTAAGCACTCAAAATATTCATTTCTATATATGCCTCCCAGCACTTTAAATTCATGAACTTAAATTCATGCATTTCTACAGTACTTTTTACTCTGATTTTTCATTTCACCATCTAAGCAGAGTTGAGTTTTTAAAAATCCTGCTTATTTAGAAGCAATAATGCACTAATGGAAGTTTCAGCTCTTTCAAGAGAGGCATGTCTTACTCAGCCAAGAGAAATGCAATGAAAATTATTTCTGATGGATTCATTACTTCAGGGTCCTCAAAGTCTTCAAAATCCTTTGAGAGTTCATTGTTTCAATTATCAAAATCTCACTCTCATTTTATCTGAGCTCTTTCACTTAAAAGACTTGGCAGGCTGTCAATCCAAAGGCTGCTATGATTCAGCAACTCGAAAAAAAAGTCAATCCCCCTGTTTGGCTTTCAGTGATCTCTGACCAACTGTCAGCAAGGTGTTTTGTGTTGGCATTGTCGCAGGAGGGCTAATGGTTTTGTTCTACATCCTGATTGAGCATCTCACAGTGTGAGCTTCATTTCTCTAGCTTTGAGCTATCCAATATCAAATACTCCATCCACTGTGTGGCATTCCTTATCCCCTTTTAGTTGGCCTATTGGAATAGCACCCTATCCTAGAGAGTGTTCCTGGGTGGGCACCTGGCTCCAGGTAAACAGACTTAATCAACTGCTTACTCCTACTGACATGATAAACCATGAGCAGCTATCCTGTCATCCCAGAATACAAACATGAGTCTTACTATATTTACCAATCTCGTCCAAAAGCCAATCCAGACCGATCACATTTTCCTGAGCATCTACTGACAAGAACCCAATTCATGTTTCTAATTTTGTTGGATTTCTTTGGTTGTAATCAAAAGAAATAAATTATGCCTAATTTAAGAGAAAAAAGAACTTAGAAGAAAAATCTGTGGCTCACAGAATCAAAAGAACAGTTTAAAAAAGCCAAATCTTATATTCTCCAACAAACTGGTATTAACTGAGTAGCACCTAAGTGGACACATAGGTACTACAGTAATAGGGTATTGGGCAGGTGGGAGGGGGGAGGGGGCGGGTATATACATACATAATGAGTGAGATGTGCACCATCTGGGGATGGTCATGATGGAGACTCAGACTTTTGGGGGGTGGGGGGGAAATGGGCATTTATTGAAACCTTAAAATCTGTACCCCCACAATATGCCGAAATAAAAAAAAGTAAAAAAAATAAAATAAAATAAAATAAAATAAAAAATAAAATAAAAATTAAAAAGCCAAATCTTAAGGCAGAATCAAATCAGAATAGTTCTAGGTATTTTAATAGCAGGGATTGGCTAGCATGGATTGTGGATGTACCTTTGTGTTGGTGAGGGGCAGACTTGGCCCCACAATTCCTTTAAAATTACCCAGATTAGGAAAGAAGCAATCCTCATTATATCTGCCAAAGATAGGATGCTGGAAAGACTACACACATGAATGCACACGTATGTATGTATGCATAAAAGACTGCCACACATGGAAATGATCCAGCATTCTTATTATTTTGCTCAATGATTCTAGAAAAGAAATTAGACTACTCAATTGATGGTAATAGTTCTTAGTTCAACCTCATACTTAGCTGCTACAAAGCTTTGTGTAATTTACTTCTAGTATGCAGATTCTCATTTCTGAAACTAGACCATTGCTCACTCTAGCTCAAGAGGTTTGTAAACCAAAATGTTAGGCAGATGATGGAGGAGCTGGTCATCAAGATTTCATAGTTATCTTACCAGTTAACACATTACTTTGAGTTCCACCAAAGGCGCTAGTCCTGTTGAATTTCTAATTAGGTGTTCTCTTAACTGTGTGAATCCAGATATAGATGACACATTATAAGACAGCTACAGATTCTAGCTAATGCTATGTTTCTACCACCAACTCCTCATGTGTTGGGTTTTTAGGTTTTTCTTTTTTTAACACAAGAATTATATTTTTCTGCCATGGTAACTTTGTTTTGGGGCTTTTATCCTGCAGGAAGAATAGATAGCATTGGACACTGAAACACTATCATACTGTTCAATCTTGAAAACATTTCTCTTATGTAGGGCCACAGCTTGCATCTGTAACACATTGTTGCAAACTAGAAAAAGGTCCCCTTTCTGGGAGAGACTTAGAAAAACCACACTCGGAGTGATCAACGACCCCTTAGGTGTATAACTTGGTAAGCACAGCAGGAACCAAACTTCAGTTGCCCCTAGCCTCATGGCCTGGGCCATTTTGCAATGTATAAATTGAACTAACATTTATGGTGGTCCTTCTCTGGGGGTAATTTAGACAAATTATAACAATTTGAAACCTTTACTTTGAGTCATCTGGTTGGAAGTTTCAGGAAAATAGGTCACAGGAAATCCTGAATTGGAGTCATCTGGTATTTCTACACCCATTAGATTACTGAAGAAAGTGCACCACCTTACTCATTGAAAAGAATTTTGCCATTAGGATACCTACCTTCTGAGTTGCTTCTATTTTCACAGTGTTTAATGTGATACGTTGTATGTAAGATGCTGCACCCTAACAGAATGCTGTAAAAATGGAATACTGGGATGCCTTCCCCTTTTACACAAAAGTAGCTTCCTGGATTGCCCTCACTCTTCCTATTTTATCCTCCTTCCTAACTCCTGATTCCTCACTCCTGACTCCTCTTGCTACTACCCACAATGCACCTTGGCTCCTGAGCTCAGATTAGTTCAGGCTCTTGTGTCTTGGCAAGGATTTCGGCTATGCTACCACCCCACCCCCCACCTCAGCAATGCCTGCACGGACATCAGTAAATAATGCCCTTTCTGCCTCAGCGAGGCTCTCAGCACCCCCTCACCTGTACACTTTACCCCTAATCTGGCTTAGTCAGAGCGATACTTTCTAGCTTATTTTCCGTCCCTTACGCAATTTGAATCCAGGCTCATGCACTTCAACCCCACTTTTATCTATGTATTTATTTTGATCCTCCATCTCTACTACCCAAGCTAAGATCCTTAAACTGGGTTAACCCAGTTATTCTCACACTGGGTTCTTGTGATACTTTGAACCAGAGGATTCCCTGAAGATCCTTCAAACCATTTTAGGGCATCAATGATGTAAAATCAATTTTATAATAATATTTAGATGCCATTTGGCTTTTTAATTCTCATTTACTGTCAGTAATGTACAGAAGAGTTTTCCAGATTGAACACAAAAGCAAGCAAATAAGAGAATCTGCCTGTCTTGTGTTCATTAATACATTAAACAGAGATGCAAACATTTAAAACAATGCTCCCCCTTCCATTAAATTTTTTATTTCCACATACTGTTGTTTATTCCAAACATTTTTACATGTGACAGGTTTATTGTTATTTTTAAATGGATGAATAAATAATTTTCAAAGTTCTCAAAGGCTATGTGGCAAAAATTTATACATATAATACACAATTACAAAACTCTGGGGGGCTCAATAATTAAGACTGTACAGCTATCCTACGACCAAAAAGTTTGCAAATTGCTGGTCTAAATAAAATATGACTTAAATCACAAAAATTTTGGAAAGGTGACATGTCTGGGTTGTTCTAAGTCTGGATATAATGCCCCATGAAGTTGGCTACAGGAGTGTGGAGGTCAGGATACAGGTGTGTGAGGAAGATGCATTGAAGCTGTGAGAGTCTCAGGTATATAAATGATAATTTAAGCAGTAGGTATGATTGAAATGTCCCAAGGAACACATAGAGCAAGAGGAGAATTAGGACAGACTCTCAAAGAACAGCACCCTGAAGTGATAGACATTAAAAGAAGAGTTTACAAAGAAGGCCTAAAAGAAATGTCCGAAGACAGGGAAGGAAATGGAGAGAGTGAACAGTGTCTCGGCAAGACCAGAGTGCGGCGTCCACAGCGCCTAGGGGCCAGGCAAGAGGTTGTATTTTGCAGCAGGCAGGGGTTGGTGCCCTCAGTGAGGGATTGGGCGACCGTCTGGGTGAGGGGTTGGCAGAAAATACATCAAATGTTTTCAGGTAAAGTAGAAGATAAAAATTTTGAGACAGCAACTCTCTTAAGGTATTTACTTGTTGTAAAGAAGAGAGATGATGTGGTGAGTGGGGGCTGGGGGACACAGTGTGAGTGAGTGTTTTATAAAAGATGGAATATGAATATATTGCTCACAAAGTGGCTTAAGGGTCATTTTATGTGATTATTTCTGTTTCTTTCTTGTACAAGTATCTTGACTTAAATGGTCTATTTAACATCTTTCTCTCCATATGTATTTTTTTTCTCAGCATCTGCTACTTATCTATTAAATCACAGGAATGTTATATATTATTTGCTTCTAAGTAATTAGTTAATTACCTATTTTAGTGTTTTCTAATATAAAACCAGACTGGGCTCATAGTTTCTCATAAACAATAGAAATAAAGAGCTAGGTATCATCCCTTGTAAAAGAAAACTTAAAAATGTTAATGAAGCTGTGACGGCTAATAGATATTATATAGGAAAGAGAATATCACATAAAAATTGTGAAAAATACAGATCATTTTAAGTCTCCAGAAAAATGTATATTTTTTGTTCCTTGCCAGAAGATTGGACATGTACTCTTTCAAGTCAGTAGTTGCAGGCTGAGCAGAGGAGAGTCGCCAACTATGGGAACTCTGAGAAAAGGATTGATTTTTGACTGATATAAAGATGCCCTCAATTCATCTATGTATATCTAGTAAGTGGAACTTTGAAATCCTAAATATACATTGTAGTTATTGTGATCTTTTAAAAGTCTATGAAGTATTAGTAATAGGAAATCATATGTTCAGATGAAAAATAAAATGAGCCTAATTAAAATGGATGGTGAGTAAAATTTATATGCCTAATTCATAATTCTTCAATTATTTCCATGAGATTATGCTACCATCTGTGTATTAAAAATTTCCATTACAAACACAAGACACATAGAAGCTTCCATAGGCTCAAAAATAAAATGAAATTATGCACAACTGAGAAATCAGCAGTATGCTAATAATCATTTGTTGCATTCATTTGTGAGATGGATAATTGGTGAAGTGAACAATCTCTACCATAATTTTTCATTAAAGAAACATTTTTCTTTTAAACTAGCAGCTTGCTTTAAACAGAGTAGAGCCAATGATAGGCTCTCAAGATGTGTTCATAGATGGTATTTAGCGTTAATTACTGATGGCAACCACTCAAGACTAATAAACAATTAACTCTTTCAGTGTGCAGGTAGAAAATAGAGTACAAATCAAGTTTCAACCCTGTTTCTAATGGATATCTATCACATTAATCACTGCCTATTATCTTCGCATGCCCTTTCTATTTGGGGGGAAATGTCTGCATTGTGACAACCGCGTCTGCAGCATGGAACTCAGCTGGAAACCCCAGCCTTCCTTACAGACAGGACGGAGCACGCAGCCTGCAGCTGCAATCAGACACACCTGCGGGGGGGGGGGGGCGCGCAAAGGAGCGGCGGGAGCCACCCATGCCAGAGGGGGATGGCAACAGCTTCCCAGCGCCTGCAAGGCTGCTCCCGACACAGAGTGCAGCCAGTGCTGCTGGCAGTGTCAGCTTGAATTTCTGGCATTTAGCATTTGACAGAGGCCCTGGGCACAGTGTCCTCGAGTCCACTTCTGTGTCATGTTTTGAAGCATTGCAGCTAGAAGCTTAGTTTCGAGAGTATTCTTTTTTTTTTTAAGGAAAGCATCCCAGTTAATCCATTAATCAACTGATATTCTTAAATACATCACTGTTCTAATTAAACTAGCCAGAAAAGATTCTATTGTTTGCAACTAAGTGATCTGACTAATATACATTATTGTAAGTCAGGGGAGAAATCAAGCTCTAAATACTTTTTTGAGTTATTAAAATATTTATTAGATGAACTTATATAACGTCAATATTTTGGCCACTTCTACTCTGAAAGGGTAATGAAACTGAGCACAGGGGCCAAGAAGGGCTGGGCCTGCAGAGCTTTGGGTTTGCATCTTGACGTCACTATTACTAGCTATGGATGAGTATTATTAACTTAATCTATTTGATTCTCAATTGCATCACGTATGATAAATGATAATAATACCTAATGATTTTTAGGATTAAATGGGATAACATTTATAAGGTATTAGTGCAATGCTTTATGCTTTAAGCTGACTGGCAAAGAGCTTTTTATTCAGCTATAGCTAATGCCACATCTATGTGGCATTAGCTATATATATATATATATATATATTCATCTATGAATTTTCAGTTACAGGCAATATAATCCACTCCAGCTACTTTAAGCAGAAAGGGATTTACTTTAGAGGATTAAACCACTTTCAGAATGTGAGGGCTGCAGAAATGGAGTCTAGGGTGAGATTCTAGAAGAATTCCGGAAAACCTTCTGCAGAATATGCTAACAAGGAAGCTGCCCGAACCAGGAAAACATAGAATCAGGAAACTTTCTACAAACTAGGAAGTTTTTAATAAAGCTTCTGGCTCTACCACTTGTGATATGCCCAAGATCTACCTGATGAATCAAAATTCCCAGCACTATATCTGAGTTTGGCTTATTTCTGAAATTTATATGAATAGAACCATTCAACATTATACTTGTGAGGTTTGTGCGTGCTGTGCAGCAGTAGTACAGGCTTTCTGTTTTCATTGCTGTAGAGCAGGGTGTGGTAGGCAGAATACTGGTCACCAAAAGATATCAACACTCTAACCTCCAGAACCTGTGAATATGCTACTAGGACTAGTTTCTCTGCCCCTCTTCCCAAACCCCACAAGAACTGTCCTATACCTTGGGGGAGGAAACGCAGAATCCCGGTCACCTATGCAAGCTTCCCTTCATGGGATCTTGTTTCTCATGTTCTCGTTGCCTTGGAAGCTCTCCATATCTTCAGACAGAGGATTTTGTATTTTGGAGAAATCTCTAACTGGCTTTCTAAGTGTTCTTGACAACAGAAACTCTCACGACGGGTGGGAGCAGAAGCCCCTCCGTGGAGCTTTAAGGCCTGGGATCTCTCATTCATTCATACTTGTTCCAAATTCTCTCTCCCTCATTCCTACAATTTCTGAAACAATATCACTGTTCTACACTGTAATTTAACATCCCACAATATTAAACTTTGTTTCTGTTCTTGATTTTTAGCTATGCTAGCCCTTGCAGCCAGTGTTAAAAGATTCTTACAGGAAAATCATAGAAGCTCTCTCAGCCTTTGATTGTGCCTTGTACTGAGAACATAAAACTGTGAGTTTGTAGTTTTCTTTTTTCTCTAGTATAGTTAGTAGCAATGAACCTCCCACTATATTCTGCTTGTGTTCCTGATTCTCACCCAAATGGTTCATTGCAACAGCCACTGGTTCTAATAAAACTTTAGTATCATTTCATACTAAATGACCACAGATGAAAATTAATTGCATTGCCACGGTCTAGCAAGAACCACTAATTTCTTATTTCTTATTCATGCAGTTCTTTCCAGGTGAGAGACCCTGTCCCATATTCCCATTTCCGGTTGAGTTCCTCACATACTTGAGTACCGACTTCCCTGTTACTGAGAAGTGCATTATTTCAGATACAGATGCTATGCAGTTTAAGTAAATGGGGAATTTGGGGTATTTTTCCAGAATAGTTAGAATAACTGAAGAAATAGACTGTAGGCTAAACTTCTAAGAGAAAATTTCAAAGAAATATGTCTGACTTGGGCCACGAGAGGACCTGCCCCTCCGCTGTGTGGGCGAGCTGCAGAGCCGAGCCCGCCGCTCCTGCGCGCGGCGCCCTGCCGGCCCGGCTCCTCGGACCGACTTCCCGCCGCCGCTCGGCTGTGAATCCAGGCCTCGCACGGGAATATATTAGCAAACTCTAATTCGTTTCTAAGACCCTCCCTGCTAGAGATGAGGGAAATGTCGCGCCAGGCTTCCAGCCTGCGGGCTGCGTCCGCTCCCCAGCCCATCGGTTATTATTGTTATTATTAACATTATTTGGCGAGAACGTCTCACTTATAGGCTCCTGACACTTTACGTGATCAATACTGAAGTTATTTTCCTCCCAAACCTACTCTTCTCCCTGTGTGTGATTTTTTTTTTAATCTCATTAAAGAACAATACAGGTCCAAACTAAAGACCTACTAGGTAGCCTAAATTCTTTCCATTGTCAGTCCATCGCACCATCCTACTCCTATATAAACAAGCACCCATTACTGGAGATTCCATCTTCTTAATCTTATGTATATTATCTTCCCTATTTTCTCTGCTGTTTAATCAATTTGGACTTTATTCTTTCATTGTTTTAATAGTCTTTTCATTGCTCTTCTTCCCTCTTGTCTTTCTTCCACATATCCATTTACCTACGAAATATATCCTTTCCACTAATGAAAATCATCTTTCCTACTTTGTTCTGCCCATCCCAGATACATACTCTTTGTGAAATTATACACAGCTACTAGTTCATTAACCAAGTTTGTTTTGTATTTTTCCACGTCTTTCATCTCATTCATATCATACCCTTTGCCTGAAAGTTTCTTTTCAGTCTTAAATCCTACCCATCCTTTAAAACTCCAGCGTCACTTATTTCAGGAAGCCTTTCCAAACTTTCATCTGCTCTAGATGTATTTGATGCTCTTCTAGCATCAAACATGCTCTCCATTCATCAAGGCTCCACTCATCAGGTTTTTCAACAGTCAGATCCTCAAAGACATCATAACCTTTCCTGGCCTAACATATAATGTTATACCTGGAGTTGAGTATCCAGGCATATTTGTAAATAAAATTTGTAGAAATAGAATTCTTAGCAATATTTTGCAGAGCTTATAAATTAGATTTTTGAGCTACTTATCACCTGGAACTTAATAGTCTGTCTTTCACAATGACTATGGTCTCAGCAAATATTGGCAGCAATAAATAAACATTACTAATATGGGCCAGAAGATTTATCCTAAAAATTCTTCCATGTTCAAGTTAGGGTCCAAAGTTTTTATAAGAAATTAATGAATTTCATTTCCCATAGAAATAAGAACATGATTTTGGTGTCATTGACAGGGCATAACTGTTTCAAATTAGCTTCCATAATGGACACATTATGGGCTGGGTGGGAGGAAAACCATATAAATTTAACAAACTATATTAGGATTAAATTCTCACATAGGCCACTTTTCCTAAAGTATTAGAAGCTTTTTAAAAATCAGTCATAACCTTCTAATAAAGAAGTTTGCCTTTACTGAATATATGTTTAAATTAGACCACATTCCCACGAATAACATATGAAGGTTCCAATTTCTCTATGTTCTCCCCAACATCTGTTATTTTCCCAAAAATATAAAGAACTCTTATAACGCAACTAAAAAAGGCAAATAACCTAATATAAAATGGACAAAGGATTTAAATAGACAGTTCTGCAAATAATATATACAAATGGCACACAAGCACACGAAAAGATGCCCAAGATTATTGGTGTTTAGGGAAATGTAAATCAAAACCATAAGATCTCACTTCTAGTTCTTTTGAACTTGAATAGAACAATACCTTGTAAATTTCTCTTCACTGTTCATGAGGAAATTCATAATTATCTCTAAGGCAACTAACTTTACCAACTATCATAGCCCTGGTAATCTTTGTCCATCTGTAAGCTTTTCGTTAAGTATTATTTTACAGTCGTGGGCGTTCATATTCAACTTGCCCATTTCCCTTTCTCTTTTTATACAGGTTTCTACTTCATGGACTTTGGAAACATTATCAGAGATAGAGTTCATATTGTTCCATATGTTTTTTTCTGAATCTGTGATAACCTTTTGCCATCCAGAAGGGATTAATTTTACATTTTCAAGAGAAGACATTGCCTATCAAGCAGTATTGGACCGTGTGTTATTTTATGGACTATTGCTAGTCCTCTTTTCTATTATTCCCTGGCCTCTCACCATTTCATAGTGAGATCTTTGGTCCAAGATTCCTTCTTTCTTAAATGGGCCATACTTCTTTTTAAAGGCTATATGAGAACCTCAATGTTTAGAACATAGTTAAGTATAACAATATAGCATTACATGAAAATATAAAAGTTATATTTCAGGTGTATCAGATAAGATATTAACATTTTTGTGGCTAAAATTTATGAAAATTATAACATCTCTACAATCATGTATGTTTTTGAAAAGTGCTTGTGATGTGTTCACAACACTCAGACGTAGACACACACGTTTGTGAAACACAGAGAGAGCAACCTTTTGAATAGAAAGGAGTGACTTATTTAATCTTTGTATGCTCTGTTTTGGAGACTACAAAATTTCTCAAGTAAAGTTGTGGTTTAAAACATAATGGAAAGTATTTATAAGAATCACTCCATGTGAATGTTAAATCCTTTTCTTTAGGACAAGCGTAATAAGATCATTTAAAAATATAAACCTGTACTGCACATTTTTGGATGCTAGTAGGAAAAAATACTATAGTCATATAATTGCTTTAAAAAAGGTCATTAAAAGTGAGAAATATATCTTTGTATGACATTTTCAGTTTGATAAAACTGCTTTATTTCCCAGTTTGGAAGAATATGCTAAAGCATGCAGATAGATGTTCAAGAATAAACTGTGAGGGACCATATCTACAATACTGATTTCAGAAATGTATGTCTCTCAGTGGAATTTTGATGAATGTCTTCAATGTATACTTATGCATATTAATAACATTTGAATTCCTCCTTGACTAAAGTGCTTCATTTCAAATGCTGACTGAGCCTTAAAGCAGGCCTAAAATGTTTCATAAAAAATAATGTTTCTTGTTTTATTTGTGGGGATACGCTTGCTCTTACTCCTCATTCTTGGTGGTGTGTATATGCTAAAGAGAACAATGTGGCTCACGCCTGTAATTGTAGCACTCTAGGAGGCCGAGGCGGGTGGATTGCTCGAGGTCAGGAGTTTGAAAACAACCTGAGCAAGAGCGAGACCCTGTCTCTACTATAAATAGAAAGACATTAATTGGCCAACTAATATATATAGAAAAAGTTAGCCGGGCATGGTGGCGCATGCCTGTAGTCCCAGCTACTCGGGAGGCTGAGGCAGAAGAATCGCTTGAGCCCAGGAGTTTGAGGTTGCTGTGAGCTAGGCTGATGTCACGGCACTCACTCTAGCCTGGAAAACAAAGTGAGACTCTGTCTCAGAAAAAAGAAATAAAGAGAACAGTGCAAACTGTACCTGCACACTTACAAATACTAGGAACTCTTACATGGCTGAATCGCATTTTCTCTCCCTACTCCAATCCGTTTTCTTCAGCAGTCATCTGTATCACATAGCCTGCTTTGTTTCAGGGCAGGAATCTTTTCATTTTCCTGCGAGAGTCATTTCGGAAGGCAGGACCTCAGCCTTCTTAGAGACCAAGGTGTCACTTGTGAAGTGGCCTTTGTGTGAGATCATTCTTGACCCACCGAACAGACAATCAATGGTAGTGTTACATAGTCAAGACTGGTATCCATGACATGAATACTAGGAGGACTTTGAAAGCAAAAGTTGACTTATTTCATTAGTACAAGGCTAAAATGTCCTTTTATATATTTGATTTCAATATGTGGTCCTCTATTTGGCAGGTTGCATTTTGATGCATTTACATTTAAAGGGACATGCAAAGTATTTTTATAGATATATTTTAATCTACCCTTGCTGCTAACACATTTGAAAAATCAAATGTAAGGGAATGGACCCACTGACAAGGCACCATTATGTGAGCTGTCTTCAAAACTCTTCCCCAGATTTCCTCTACTATTTTTTCCAATCTCTTTAGCTAGATTTTTCCAACTGTTTGAACATGGGAGCTGAATCACTAACTTTATATCACTGTGACCATGGAAACACGTGTCATGGCTTCTTAGGAACAGTACCTTTTTCATCCCTTCTTAACTCACATTTAGAAAGCAGGCATTTTTTCAAAGACATTTTTAAGAAATTTAGGTAAAAGAAAATTGAAATCAATACCAAAAAACATCAAAAGTATCAAAGTGAACAGATGAAGGAACATAGAGGTTAAGTGCTAAGTCAGTTATAATTTCTGATATTTATTGAACTCTTATGTGTAAGGTAATGTCTTGAAAGCTTGACATAGATAACCTCATCCGATACTCACAATAAGCTAATGAGGTAGATAATACTTTCATTCTCATTTTATAGATTAGAAAACTGGTAATGAGTAACATGCCCAGGATCACACTGCTAACACAAAGTTGTGCTGTGGTCAAGATTAAAATTTCTCTGCGTTGGCACAG